TCGTTTTCACAGTACCACGATCACCTTGTCTACTTAAGAATAACCTTCAAAAATACGTTTTTGCATAGACAACACATGAATAGCAGTATCTTTTGAATCTGGAAAAGGCCTATATATGGAACTTGGAGGTAATAATGTAATGAGTAATTACACAAATGGGGTTTAGGGAAAACTTTACCTGCGTTTATTAAAAACTTTCTATCACACCGCACGTTTCGGACAAGAATAGGAGACACCCTATCTCAAATCCATACGATGGAAAATGGAATCCCTCAGGGTTCGGTTATGAGCTGCACATTATTCCTAATAGCCGTTGATGATTTGGTGTCATCCATACAAAAACCTCTAAACGCATGCCTGTATGTAGATGGTTTGATCATTTGTACATCTAGTGAGAACCTTGAAGATATACAAACTGAGATGCAGGAAGGTATTAATAAAGTGGTGGAAGTGGCCGAAAATATTGGTTTTCGGTTTTCATCCGAAAAAACGGTAGCAATCCATTTTTGCCGACTGCGACACGAGCATGCCGATCCGGTACTCAATATTAGAGACAGTACCGTGAGATACTTACCTAGTATAAAAATTTTAGGAGTAATCTTTGACAGTAAACTTTACTTCCGAGAACACATTGAGGCATGAGAAAATGAATGTAAAAAGAGGTTAAATATAATCAGATGTCTAGCAAATAATTCATGGGGCTCAGATCGAATTACTTTGCTTCGATTCTATAAAGCTTTTGTATTGTCTATTTTGGACTACGGATGTATCATATATTCACCAGCGCGCAACAGCCACTTAAGACGCCTAGATAAAATACACGCGAATGGACTCAGAATGGCGATAGGGGCTTTTCGCACAAGCCCATTAGAGTCAATTTATAGCGATTCAGGAGTTCCAGCTCTTAAATATCGTCGATATAAACTACTCCTTCACTATTACACTAAGATCCTATCCCTACAATATCATATTAACAATCCCATATTGGTCGACCATGAAACGCAAGACTTGTACCGCCAACGATCTACAATAACCAAACCGGCTTTAATTCGTGCAACCGAGAACTTGAAGGATTTGAATATAGACACGCCCACTCTATTCCTCCAAAGTATACATGAGTATCCCCCGTGGTGCAAGCCAAATGTTACCTTTAGGCTGGATTTGTCAGTTTTCAACAAACAGTGTACACAAAAAAGTACCTACAGAGTACATTTTAACAATATAATTAAGGAATATCCCCACGACGTAATTATATACACTGATGGTTCGAAAACGGAGAATGGAGTGGGAAGTGCCATATATGTAAATGGAGAAGGGTTTCACTGGCGTCTTAATAATATGGCTAGTATTTATACGGCGGAACTATATGGATTGTGGCAAGCGTTACTATATATACGACACAATGTCATTAAAACAGCCTTGATATGCACAGACTCTTTAAGCATAGTGAGTTCATTAAGTAAAAAAGTAACTTCGAACAACGCATTAGAGAATATAATATTAGCATTATTATATGATGTCTGCAATAAAAGTAATAAAACGATAGTGATAATATGGGCACCTGGGCATGTAGGTATTGCCGGTAATGAAGAGGCCGACGAATTCGCACGAAACGGAAGCAACTTAACAAATGTAGATATGATACCCGTTCTATCTGAAGATTTTAAATATAGGATAAAGATTAATATCAATGACTTGTGGCAAACGAAATGGCATTCTGAAAATACCCAACTGAGGCACATTAAACCGTCCATTAAGCCATGGAAACCTAGATTACTTACAAGGCGACAATCTACAGCGCTAACGAGGGCAAGAATAGGCCATACTAACTTACCCATCTCCATCTTCTAGGGAAGGTAGGAGTAAATGAGTGCGTGCGATGCGGAGTGAATGTGTCGATGTATCATATATTGATTGAGTGCCGCCAGACCGAAAGGCTGAGAAGAGAGTTAAATCTACCTAATAACCTTAAAAGTATATTTGAAGATACAACTGATGCTGTCAATAGATTACTGTTATTTCTAAGTAGAACTGGTATTTTAAGGAAACTATAATTACTACAGAGAACATAAACACTTAGCTAATAGCTAATAGCCAAAGCAGAGTGCACCTCCACTAAAGCAAAAGTGCTGAATGGTATTTGCATGCAAATTTGTAAGAACATTTTATAAACTTTTGACGTCTGGGCCTGCTTGGCGCGACGCAGCAGCGGGTACCTGACGTCACAACGCTAGCCTTGTCTCGAGGTACCGTTTTCTAGCTTCTTTTCCATTACGAAATGATTTCGCCAATTCATTTTTTGAATTTTTTATTTGTGCTAAGTATTAGTGTACAGTTAATTCTTCCGAATTATAAGGCTAGAACAGAAAATATGAGACCTGCCTATTGCGGACTATACTTCGATCTACCTATTCTAGTAAATTTTAACAATAGACAGACACTACTCTTAGATTTACTTAGCGAAGTGTTATCATCCAAACATAACGACGAGCGATAACATTAATGCATGCAACTCTACCAGAAACCTAAGGTTAAAGGTAATAATAAACAAAGTTCACTTACCACGAAACACCTCGATGTAATCTTCCACACCCCATGCAGTTAGAAAATCCTGAACGTCTTTGTCAGCCATCATAAGAAGACACTGTGTAAAGAACCGGCAACACATGCAGTATGGCGCGTTACCGGGAATACGCACCGAGTTGCTATACGACGCCGACGTTTCATTTACTTCAGTAACCAACAACCGAAATTTGTATCTACAGCAGATAGTTTGCTGGACTAGCCAATATTGCACGCTTTTTAACAATATGATTTTCTGCAGTTCAGCAGTTACCATAAGGACGGCTTGCAGCTGGCTGCATTTTCTGTTTTGGATTTGCAGTATTTACTATCTAATTACGGTTACCGGCCTAATTTGTTTCTGTTGTAAAAACAAAACAATGTTGTTACTGATACTGTTCATTTGCTGTCCTTACGAATGAAATTGTTAATTTATTTTATTTGCCGTTTTGTACCAAACACACTGCAGAAGCTACCAAAAACCGTTTAGCAAGGAATGAATTGTACCCATTACAGCTCACTATCTACTCCCCACGATATCCTTAGGTTGACAGTACCTAATTTTGGTTACAACTATCATTTATCAATTAGCAGATCTGTTTTGCTAATTTTGTACTCCCAATTTTTCTCAGTGTTAACTTATACAAGTATGCGAAGAGTTTGGAGTAGAATAGGATGCTGGAACTATGAGTACTGAGCGAACTAGTCGTAGAGTTAATCGTAGACGCATTGCCAGGAGTTACTTTTCACATGTACCGTGAAATACTAGTTTTTTCTGTGTTAAAACGAATGTTCACTTTGATTCAGATAGATCGATTTATTGTGCTTCGAAGTTCCGGCATGTAAACCTTGATTGTATTAAGGGGAGTCAAATGAAACCTCGGTCCGCGGGTATTGTGCGTAGTGTCACGAGTGTCTAGAGTTGAGGCAAAATCTCAAAACTGGTATAGTGAAATTGAGTTATGGCTCAACTCTCACGCTACTGAAAGTCGTAACTGGTTCAAGCTGACGCACCGTTAACATCTTTTATAGAGGAGAGAGGAGTTTTCGTGTCAAAGTTCGCACGTTGATCAGGAATAGTATTCCAACTTTGTAATCGCTCTCTTGCACCCAAAATCATAGCATAAGAATCTTTCCTTTGTAAAGTTTTTACATATTTCGCCGATGATAGAGGAACAAAGTAATTGCGATTGGGAGTTTTAAAGTTTAAAACTAGATAACAAGCAGAGTCGCTATAGTCGAATTACAGAATACAAAACCTAATTTCGATCACAATTGCGTTTTATTTCGGTAACTAAATTGTCCAATTCGAGACGGTCTATAAAAGGTTTCAGTTCGAAAATGACCCACACAAAAATGCTCCTTAGGAACGTAGCACATAAAGGGATAGAGTTTTGGTAACGGATAAGAGACGCTTTAAATTAAATTCCAGTTCAGATCAAACGAAAGTTAGTTCAAAGCAAGAAAACTATCTTTACGTTGTCATCCTAAGCTAACATATTAAAGGGTTGTTTTTGTAAAGGTGACGAGTGAAAATTCCTTAAAGGCGCTCGTCTGCTTCAATAGTAGATTGCAAATGAATTGATTGCTTTCTGCTTATGACACCAGTCGACTGAATGTACCAAATAAATTTTTGGCGGTGTTTGCGGTAAACTGGCAAAGCAGAACAAAATGAGATGTTTTGCAAGATGTAGAACTGTTTTTATAACAGAGCATAGACTAAATCCATATTGCGAAAGACGCGAACTTTAAAGGCTGCATTTTACGAGCCGTTACGTGCGAAATATATAGAAAAGCGGAGAGAACAATGAAAAATCCATCAACGTGGTCGAAGCATTTCCCGCTCGAATGGAGTTGTTTAATTGTGCCCACCACTAAAATTAATTTATAGTCTATCGATTAGCGCGGAAGCCCATACAATGTGATAGTGTATTCACTTAATGTGATAATTAACTCCGGGATGAGGAGAATAATCCATAGGCAGTGTGATACGTCATGAGTAACGCCGATAACAACCAGTAATTAGCGCGTAAATCGAACAGCTCTTACACAAACATAATGCAAATT